TTAACTCAGATCCTTATCAAACTAATGTCCATATGAATATTTACCTTATCAGTTTACAAGCAGATTTGTTTTCAAAAGCAATTTGCAGGCAAAGGAAGCTATATTTGAGAATTAACTACATTAACTCAGTTATGCATGTAAATAGAGCACAGAGTGACATTGTTAAATAAAATCCATAAATAATTTTAAAAAACTCATCATTTGCTCAACAAATTTTAACTTCTTGAGAAGTTAAAAAAAAGTTAAAGAAATTTTAACTTTAAGCTGCTACCAAGGCTTGTTGAATATCACTGTTAAACCAAACTAAGACAAAACAACCAACCAACCAACCAATATAAAAACCTTCACAGCATCCACAAGAGCACTCAGCTCTTTTGCTTCCCACACAGCTTTGACATTAGTGTTAACCTGGTAGTCAGATAGACTCTCACAGGCAACAAACATCTAGATTATCCCATTCATTTTAGTCTGTACAGGAAGGACACAAATAAGTAGCTTGTGAATAAAGAGAGCTGTATCCTCACATCAAAGACTTACACCCTGGATTTTGGGTCAGATACAAAACATCAATTGAGCTATCAGCTGTAAAGTGTGTATACATTTTTTGGACAATCTAGATAAATATTAGAGATAGACATCAATACTTGTATATCTCTATGGAGATGTTATATAAAATCGTGATTCAAACTAAGATTATAACAACTTTGGAGGCAATATTGTAATATCTGTCAGAACTACAAATGTACAACCTTTTGATGCAGTAATTCTAATTCTAGAAATTTACCTTTCAGATAGAGTCATACATGTTTGTAAAGCCATATGTACAAAGATGTTATTTATAGGCATGTTTATAATGACAAAAGCTGAAAGAAAATTCTAAACAAGTCTCCGTTCTTATTCATACACACACACACCAATTTATTTGCTTACTATGTGCCAGGCATATATATATATAATTCTCTTTGAATGACTGCATTTTGCATTTTTCATCTGTATGGTCTTATGCAATATAGTGGGTAATAGCCCTGCTGTGTGTTGCTGAGAAGGTAAACAAGTCTTTTATTGTCAGCATGTTTACATGCATATTGGAAGCTTCAGTTTACTGGTTGTCCTACAGAAAAATTCTCTTTGAATGACTGCATTTTGCATTTTTCATCTATATGGTCTTATGCAATATAGTGGATAACAGCCCTGCTGTGTGTTGCTGAGAAGGTAAACAAGGCTTTTATTTTCAGCATGTTTACATGCATATTGGAAGCACTTGGACAGCTTCAGTTTACTGGTTGTCCTACAGAACCTCTCTGGCCTTTAACACAGGATTTCCTCCCTGACACAGGAGACCTGGTAAGAAGACTGGCTGTCCCTACAAGTTTCCAGAGTCCTAGTTCCTCGAGGAAGTCAAGGCAGAGCAGACCTATTTCCTAAGGTTTGCCAGCCCCTCACAGCAGCACCTCCCTGTGATGTCCTGTCCCATCCATAGCGGTCTCAAGGACTAGGGCTTCAGCAAGATCTATGACATTTTGTGGTTTGTCTACTTTACTGAATCCAGATTAATGGAATAGATTCATTCCATTTGGTGTGCCAACAAATGGGTTTGGGGATTCTATGAGCCCCCAGAAATTGTGTGTGCATATATGTGTGTATTATATATTAATTAAAATGTATATATAAATTATATATAACATATTATTTATATGTAATATAAATAATTAACTGGATTCTTGAAGACAATTGTAACATCCCACAAAAAACCCCAGAAAATTAGAAATCACTGGTTTAGAGACTCAAGTCTCCATTTAAGGATACATTTAAATGGCATGCATAATTCACTTAAATTACTTTCTGTGAAGTAGAATACCTGGCTACTCTGAAATTCTCAATGCATTTTAAAAAACGTACTTATATGGTGTCACAATCAGTTAGCATATTCAATGGCTTTTAACTAGTCCTGGATTCGGTGTTTTGGTAAATAAAGCCTTTGGTAAATAGATATTATCAGTATTATACACTCCACCATTAGAAGGGGATTTCAGTAGATAGAAATTCTCGCATGACTGAAATTAAAACAGAAAATGCTTGTTGAGTATCCTACTGTGTGGGAGTGTGTCACAATTCCACCAGTGCTCCCCAATGCAGCCATAACAACACACCAGTTTGGAGAAAAGTGTACGTGTCTGAGCTCACTCAATGCAGGGGAATGAGGAGGACCACCAGGTCCAGGGCTAGATGGCCCGGATTCAAGCCTACCTTTATCATTTTCTAGTGGTGTGACTGGGCAAGTGACTTCACCTCTCCAACAGGTGATTTCTCCATAAAATGGGGGGGGGGGGTGCGGGGAGGGGTGACCACATGTTTTGTTGTAGTGACTTAATGAAGTAAACCAAGTACCTAGTGCATAATAAGGTACATGGTAGCCTAGTGCATGGTAGCCATTATTGTTATATGACACCTCAAATGACACCTATTTATGCATACTATAAAAATCAACCAAAGACTGCCATGTAGAATTCAATGATGGCAAGCATAGTGATGGGACTGAATTCTTTGGGATGGATTTGTTTAGGACCACTATAGAAGACCAGATTTGTAATGACTCATTAGTTTATTTCAGAAGTACAGTGACAGCTTTAGCAGACTAAATGGTATTCCCTAGGGAAATCATAAAGGAATGTGAAATGAAAGTAAAACCTGCGTGCCCCCCTGGGGGTTGAATATTCTCTGGCTTTATTGAATGTAATCATTTGACCAAATGGAGAAAGTAGTCTGGTCCTGGCAGCGCTGACTTACATCTTGTCTGAAAGCAGCACACGGAAGGAAAACGCTCTCAGCCCAGGCTTCCGTAAGTCCTTCAGCTGCTGGCTGACTTAGGAAGGTGTCTAACATGTGGGGTTTACTGGGACCTCTCTAAGCTGGCTTTTTACAAAATTCTGTGCAAACCTAGATATAATCTCCCTTTTGAGAGGGATTCTATTTCACATATTTAAAAATTTCTCACAAAACCTTGTACTCTACAGTTTCTCAAGTCATTTTGATGAGTTGAATTCAAATTCCTCTGCCAAGTTGGAATGGTAAGATTTGGTCAGTGGGACTCCTTAAGAAACAAACGGGTCACTTCTGGCCCAAATGGAGCTGTGACTGAATTTAAGGGGCCCATTTCAGCCTGTGCTTCTCCCAGAAAACTCTCAGAGTTCATAAGCACTAGTTGCCATGCAGAATTTTAGAATTTCTTCTATTATCCCTACTTATTTCTGCAAGTATTTCCTTCTAGGGCCTGGATTGTAATCTGATTCTTATCTCTATACCTCAGAAGTTTCTAGAATGCCCTTATAATATGGCTATTTGGATTTTCAGAGACTCATGGAAGGCAATTTAAAGGCATGCCTTGTGATAATTTCTCTTGCCACAAGATCAAAGCATCCCTTACAAATCTTTCCCAACACTACATCTTTTTTTTTTTTCCCTTTCCTCCTGTACTGAATCCAGGACTAGTTTTAGGCAAATCTGCAAAACAGATTCCCATTCTTTACACTTTGGTTCTGTTTTTCTGTGCGACTTTCTGTTGCTGATCATGATGGGAAAACAGTTTTACATGTTGACACTGTCCTTTGAAAATTTCCAGCTCTTTCACTGAGGTTATTTTTCTTAACACCAAAACCCCCCCAATAAGTGGGCACCAAGAACCTTATTGTAGAATTGAGGAAACTGAGACCTAGAGATATTGGGATGTGTCGAGTTCCAAAGCCACCTAGAATTAGGCCATGTGGGAGTTTATGTCCTGACCTTACTCTCCATGCCTGATTCCTCTGATGCCCGTGGTGATCACGTAACAATGTTAGCTACTGAAACCATTCTTTGCAGACTTTAAGTTGAGTGCCCCTGGTCTGATCCATGAACTAATCTGTAGGGTACAGCTATCACTTTGGAACCTGATAGATTAGCCTGATTTCTGCCTCCAACTCTAACTCATTGTGAGCACGTGAACATACTATTAATCATCTGTAAAATGGAATAATATTCACTTGTGAACTGTCAGAAGGATTAAAGGAAAGTGACACACTTATTCCAGTGCTTGGCCCACTGTAGGCATCCAATAAAAAGTAGGAACAGTAACTGGGCTGGTGTGGCTCAGTGGTTGAGGGTTGACCCATGAACCAAGAGGTCACTGGTTTGATTCCTGGTCAGGGCACATGCCTGGGTTGCAGGCTCCATCCCCAGTAAGGGGGTGTGCAGGAAGCAGCCAATTGATGATGTTTCTCTCTCATTGATGTTTCTATCTCTCTATCCCCCCTCCCCTTCTATCTTCTCTCTCATATATAGATAGATAGATAGATATAGATATAGATCTATATATCTATATATATGAAGTAGGAACAGTATAGTCATTCACAGCAGGGGAACTGTAGTCTCCTACTCACCAGTCTAGGTTTCTTTCTTCTAGGCCATTTGTTTCCTAAAACCAGGGTCCCCCAAGAAAATGCTTCCCAAGGTTAATAGTGTTCATGAGTCACTTAAGAATCTTAAGACGCAGGTTTGATTTAGTAAGTTTGGGGTGGACCTGAAGTTCTAACAGGCACTTAGGTGATATCAATCCTGCTTTTGGACCACATTTTGAGCAGGGAGAATGTGTCCTGTGAGCTGGACTTAGGGACAAGATTTTTCAGGAACAGTGGTTCTCAGTCTTCACAGTTCATCAGAATTACATGGAGGGCTTTTAAAATAAAATAAAACATATTGTGTCCCACCCAGAGCAGGTCTGAGGTGGGGTCATACAATGTCGTTTCTAACAGGTTCCCAAGTAATGTTCATGCTGCCCGTCTGGGACTACAATGGTTCTACGCTTAGCAGGGGGTACTGAAGACCAGAAGGAAGTTTGGACTCAGTGATCACTGAGTTTCAGGAGGGGGATGAATCATCCTGAGTAAGCTCCTGCCAAAGACTTTCCCATTTCCCGCTCTCTAACCAGTCACCCTCCCCTCACCATAGTAGTTGGCGCCTTTTACCTTGTAGACATTGATGGGGATGTCAATGATGATGTGCAGCAGGTCTCCCAGAGCCAGGCTGGCTATCAAGATATTAGGGCCATTTCGCATGCACTTGTTCTTGTAAATGATTCTCAGCAGCGTGGAGTTTCCGATGATGCCCAGCACGAACACTAGGCAGGACACCACCGTGTTGATGTACTTGAAAGTCTCTTTGATTTCAATGAATCCTTCGCACGGGGGCGGGGCTCCGGCCGGCTTCCCTGCTTTAGGCGTCTGCGGAGGTGTGGACGACCACGGCCAGCTGGCGTTGGACCCTGTTGTCCTGGAGGTCTTCGTAGGGGGCGTCATTATCTCTCGGGCCCCCAGAAGTGGCGGAGTGGCCCCGGTCGGTGGGAATCCCTTCTCTTGTCCCTGGACTCCCGCCACGCCGCTGGCCAGGATCAGGGCCACCAGGGCGTGTCCGCACATGCTGGGCAGCGGCTGCATGCTGCTGCCGGCTCCTGTGGGCGTTGGGTGGCCGCTCCGCAGCGTTCGGGGTCTGGAGGTCAGTCAGGAAGACGGGACACACGGGTCAGCTACCTCCACCACGCCCCTGCCAACCGCTAGCTCGGATCGCTCCGGCGCTGTGCCTGTCCGCGCGCGCAAAAGTAACTCAAGTTTGCGCGGCGGTGGAAAGCTGGCCGGCGTGACCCGCCTGCATCTGTCCACTGTCCTTCCAAACGAGCTTTCCCCGGTGGTTTTTCTCCCCTGCGTCACCCACTCCCCACCCCTCAGGGTGTC